GACTGTCTTCTGTCTTGCGCATTGTAGTCTGGTGTGAACTGGCCGACGTTTCTGAGGTGCTTATCGTCAATTTGTTATCGGCGGAGAACTGCCTTATAGCAGAATTCGATGGAAGGATTAAATATAAATTTCCTTGGGATGCGGCAGTGTGGTGTGGACGCTGGTTGCTAGGAGCAACCGCAGATAGAGGAACTTGACACAAGTTTAGAGGAGCCGGCCAACAGCAGTTGAACGAGACACGCCGGCATGAAACCCAAGACCCTTCCCTCCTCCTCCTCCAACCCCTATCGGCCATGCAACGTCCAGATAAGTTCTGACGTTCAATGATAAATCTGACCGTCTTCGAACGAAAAAAAATGACGTCATTAACATCGTATGATAGGCCGTACACAGATTCTGCATCCAGCAACGAACCCATTGCCTCAGTCACCCGTTTCTCCGCACGTGGGGGTATCGTGAGGACGCGCAGTGGTGTCTTCGAGGGCTGAGGGCTGTTTCTTATCACCATTTTGCACGAAATACAGCACAGCAGTTTATTATTCCATTTAGGGATCTCCTCTGACTGCCGCATCACGAGCTCGTGGGATAAATTACGATGTCACGTCCTTGGTTTAACTTACGAAACGTCGGTATCTGAGGTGTCGGTGGAAGTTGGCATCACGAACAGCAGGGCTGCGTCCTTTCCCTTCGAGAAGGTACATCCGAGTCTCTCAACTAGTGTCATTGGTTTTCCTCAGGCAGTGCAGATGAATTAGGAATAGTACCGTAAAATTTTCGATCATAATTGTGATATCAGACTCGTGATAGGAAACAGTAACTAATGTCGGAAACAAATCTTTTGTTTGTTTGTTTGTTTGCTTATGTAACAAAGCTGCCAGTAGCTCAGACTTTATAACGTAGGAGTATTAATGAGTTAGAAGGGATATGAAAGGACGTGATGGTGGCGTAATTTAAGATATTGTCCTGGGACTTGATAGGAACGATTGAGGAAAATCACGAAAACCTCGGTCAAGATGGCTGGTCCCCGGACGGACGTTTGAACCCGGGACTTCCTAAACGCGAAATAGGAATGCTAACCACTCGAACGCGACGTTCGGTCTAATAGATTTTTGTCTTAATTTGTTTAATATGTACTGTCGAATGTGAGAAGTTTATTCTGAATATCGATTTGGCAAGGATTAGGAAGGAGAGTGTTGTGGCCTGTCACAGAATAATAGTCGTACTTTAGGACATAGGAATATCGCCAAAGTTCAGCTGTCACAGTCAGCGTCTTATATAAGAATCAAACCCGAGACTATCCGAAAAACAAATCAGCTTTTGTCTGTTAAGCCCAGAATTTTGTTCGGCTCATTTTTAATCTGTTTAATTCCAGTAAATTGACCGTCAAAGAATGACGGGAAAGTTTGAGAGTAGTAAACGTACGACCCAGTATCCGTATAGAGTTAATGATATCAACTAACTTGCCTGGCGTATGGATAAGATACAGCAGTTGAGGTCTGATCGGCGACACAGGAGTTTCAGTGCGATCCTCCCCGGTCTAAGAATCCAATACGCAGTGCTGAGGTCATGCTCTCTGATTGTGGGCAGATCCAAGGTTGTGTGGGTTTGATGCCCCTAGCTGACAGATATTATAGACGTCAAGAATTACGATCAAAAGAAATTTGAGGTTCTTACGTATGCGAAGATGACTTCTGGCTTTAACGCCGCGTGGACCAGAGTGTCGGAGGAAAGTCTTAAGCCCCGAATAAGGTTAAGAAATCTTCATTCTTATTCATTTCTCCTTATTGTTAAAATTTATAGATTAATTTTGACGAAATTTGATACTGAAGAATTTTACGAAATTTTGTTGAACATTTTAAGTTTTAATTCGGGTCTCGCAATTTTAACGAGAACTTTTAACGTAAGACGATTAATATTTTTTCTTTGAGTTTATCTGTCGTACGTGACTGTCAACTGTTCAGTATGTGTTTTTACAGCGTCGTTTACTATTTCAGTTCAAGGCTTATCAGTCGATTGCAACCTTCTCTGGTGTGGTACGCGGAGTCGACACTTTGCTTCATTATCATTCAAATAGGCGGATATAAGGCGCGCGTTCTGACCTCGGCACTGCATTGAAGTGACTGGATGTTTTCACAATTTGCCTGGGGCTCGGTGGGCCCAAGACCCGGTGGCGATGAGAAGAATTCGTGCCGGGGATTGAAATTGGGGTTCTTCGACTCGTCATGATCGACGTTAGTTAGGTATCGATAAGTGGAGGATGGAGACAAATACGTAATTATGAGCCCACATATTCGTTACCAACTTTGGTACTGTAGGCGGGACATGTAGCACGCATGGTTGAAGATCGGAAATGTATACATAATTTATTTGTAAAATTAAAAGGACGACGCCGCTTTGGAAACATAGATTGGAGGATGATATTAAAATGTATATTAAAGAAATATGGCGTGAGTTTGTAGATTGGATTTATCTTGCTTTCGTGAACACTATAAAAAGTGAGTGAGTCTCCATCATCAGGGCGATGACTCTGACGGTGGAGGCAGCAAGCCCTCGGCGCAGCATCCTAGAAGACAGTCATCTCCAACAATTGCACTTCGCCCCTTCTTGAGGGTTCCTTTTACGTGTGTGTATTGTTCAGGTTAAATAAGGAAGGTTCAGATTCGCGGTGGAATTGCCGTTTTGGAAACCAGACACTTGAAGGACGTAGACGAAGATGGGGCTATAATATTAAAGTGGATATTACGTGTAAGTCGTAATGATGTTGAGGTGAAAGGGACCAAATTTTAATGCCTGCGTGTGTTGAAAATAACTTGTAAAAATTTTTGGAAATTAAACTGCACGCTCTTCTTTTGACGGGGCACTCTCTCCCGATATAGCCCGCTGCTACGAGTGTATTGATCTTATGAGAGAGACTCCGTACCCCGCGCGCCTCGCCTGCTCCTGTCACCGATGCTGCAAAGCTTGCCTGGCCACTGCGCAACCAACACCAGACATCCCCCAAAATCACAAGGGCTGGGTCGTCCACAGCTGCCTTACATTATTTTAGTTCTGCCAGACTGGCCGGGGCACGTTTTTTTTTTAAAAAAAAATTTTGAATCAAGTTTGCAGTGGAGTCGAGCGCCGTAGTTTTGTAACGCGATTAATCTGAAGTGCCGGTGTCGGGAGTAACAAGTGTGGGGCAAACATGAGATAGTAAGTCGCCATTATGTTCCACAGTTCGACGACGACGACGACGTCTTTACCGAAACTGCAGCAGCTGACTCGAAGCTTCTGATGGCGGGCATCTCCCCCAGTAGCGATGAACGTTCAGTGACACTGTCTTGAGGGCACACGCCCCGCGCATCTGAAGCAATAAGATCATCTGTACTTAGGACTCCTTGGAAACATGGCGACTGACGAGGACGACAAACCTCCGCGGCACAGGGACCAAAAGTCCTCTGGTTGCCACGTGAGGAAATGCCTTCCAAGAAACTGTAAACTGTGTGGATTACGCTTCTGAACCAATCATGGTGGACTTAGGAGGCTACGTCATTATTTTGGTCGAGACGAAGGATAAGAAGATTAAGCTATATGGTGAGTCCGCACTCTTACTTGTCAGGTCGCCATTCCTTTGCGAGTTAAATATTACTTATGATCTTGTATTTTGTAACACAGCTCTTCAAAGTGTCTCAGACTGAGTAGACATAAAAGTTAAAATTGGAACTATCTTACTAATTAGCTGCCTCATTAACTAACCTGGCAGACTCACCGAGTTTCGTATCTCGCGGTTTGTTTGTCGTGCTGGTGGTAACTATATGTACCTCCTGAATTAACGATGAATATTTCTGCATTTTGCCCGTTTTTTTTTTTTTTTTTTTTTGGTTCTGAGATACTCTCGCAATAAACAGCGATTATTTCCTTAAACAAGGTTAACCAGCTGATCCTTGTAATGGTGAAGTGTAGTGTTTTCTTCGCGGTACGGACTGAATTCTTAAGTTTCATTTGAAAGAGCTTCGGCTCCAAAGGTTAATTAGCGTTTTAGTCGTATTATTTCCTTAAACAAGGTTAACCAGTTGATCCTTCTAATGGTGAAGTGAGGTGTTTTCTTCGCGGTACGGACTGAATTCTTAAGTTTCATTTGAAAGAGCTTCGGCTCCAAAGGTTAATTAGCGTTATAGTCGTATTATTTCCTTAAACAGCGTTAAAAAGTTGATCTTTGCAATGGTGAAGTGTAGTGTTTTCTTCGCGGTACGGACTGAATTCTTCTTAAATAATATTTAGACGAGCTTCGCCTTCAAAGGGTTGCTTCCTTGGCACATCGAATTTCTTCAGTAGTTGATAATTATTCATCCAGTAATGTTATTCAAGTGGGTTGTGGTCTTCTGCCATTTTGTAGGTGTTTACTGAACCTATCGTATATATCTTCAGACCCTGATGATGGAGACGATATTTGCCTCAGAAACATTGGTAACTTCTTGCAACATTACACGGTGTCACAGCCCAGAACTGCTTTCAGCTTATATGGCATTTGATTTGTTAGGTTATGTCGTATTGTTACTGCAATAGTGACTTTTTCGTTTGTTGGTAGATGTTTCTTTCATACGTAAGTTAGTTGGACATGGTGAAGGCCTTTATGAAGGCGAACTAGATAATTTAATTTTACTGTAAGAACGATCTATATGCGTGTTCGTACATACATCGCTCTTGTGTTTCGGGTTTCCTTTTGTATTTAAGGATACCTTCATTCTTTCAATGCGTTTCCAGTGTGTGGTGTTCATCTGTTTTGGAATATTCTGTTACCGGATTTTATTTAAAAGGATCTTCTCCGTGTTCCATGGTAAAATTTATCATAATTTATTTTTATGATAAGCAGCGATTATTTATAATGCCCTTTTGGACAATGCACTTAAACTGAACGCACATAGGGGACGTTATGACTGCCTGTTCGTCCGCATGTTTGAAATCGAGGGCCACTGGACGGATTTTGACCAAATCTGGTATTGGAGGTCGTTAAAAATAATTTAGGGCACTTAAGATTTATGTACAAGTCAGCATCGTGGAACATGACTGTCTTTTGGATACTAGGGCCATCTGGTCTAGTAGGAATTTACCGATGTTTCAGAGGTGAGATAATCGTCCCGATGATAGAAGCAGAAAGCGCCTCTGAAACTAGGTAGATGTACCACCTGCTTCAAAAATCAGTATCTTATTTTGTGTTTATGTGTTTCGTAAGATTCTCGCTGTAAGCAGCGATTATCTTCTTAAACAGTGTTAACCAGTTGATCTTTGTAATGGTGAAGTGTAGTGTTTTCTTCGCGGTACGGACTGGATTCTTAAATGTCATTTAGACTAATCAGATGACTCCCGTTGAAACTGAGGCTTTGTAGGAAATGTCTGGGGGAATGTTAAAATTTTGTAGCCTGCGTGTGAAGAATCTGTAACCTTGTCTGCGCGACGTGAGCCAGCCATTGTCTGTGATACCTACGACCTGCAGCGTGAACATAGGAAATTAATGACGACGCCATCTTGTTAGAAGCCTTTGGTCCATTTATCTGTCCGGCCCTCAATCGTCAAAAGACTTCTTGTGACGTCACGTCCCGATAAAATTAACAAAGGGCCTGTCCATTTCGAAAACTCGTATGTTAGACAGGCAGACAGATAACGCGAAATGAGAATGTGATCACGTGACGGGTTCTCTGATGAATGGTGGGCTGTAGCCGCGTGTCTGCTGTTTTACAATACGTTGCCTTGGTAATGGACTTGAATTTGTAGTTGGGGGACAGTCCGGAGGGTTTTCTGCCCAAATTAGAGATTATTTTTGTGTTAAATTATCCCTAAGCCAGTTTAGATTCTCGGTAGACTTATTCCAATTTGTGACACTTTTCGGGCTCACTGCCTCCATCATCAGGACGATAAGCACCTCTGAAACGTCGGTCAGTTTTTATATCAGACTACGTAGGGCAACACCCCCAGGAGACAGTCATGTTCAAAATTATCTTAACCTTTTCCAATCAAAGAACAAGTAAATTGAAATAACGGAAGAGCCATTTGAGTGAGGTTGGTTCATAAGACTGGAGACAATGGGCGAACCTTGTGTGGGGTCACTGTACCATCTTCGTAGACCCAGCATGACGGCGTCCCTTCACTCCGGGTTCAGTCAGCTTGTAACGTTGCCACCACTGACCTTGTTCCACGCAAGTTAACACACAATCGATTTTCATAGCGTAACGTACGTTACTGACCGGCAGGTCGTCTGTGTAGATGCATGTTAGAAGAATCACTGTGTTTTATCGCTGACCTGTTTCATATTCTTAACGAAGATGGCGTTGGCTGGATGGCCGGGGGTTCAGTCCCATGGAGGGACAAGGATTTTTGTTTTTGCCATTACGTTAAGACGCCTTGGGGCATCGCCTGGTTCCATATCCAGTGGACGCTTTCAAGTGTGTGGAGCTAACAACTTATTTATATCGGTAATGCATTTATAATTCTTTTTATTTGTGATTGTACAGTGTGGGTGATTATGACGTGTATTCGATTTTATTGCCAGATAAAAAATATGTTTGTGTTTAGTGTTTTTAAACGTGTTCAGACGTGTTAGTAGTAATTTCATGTGTAAGCTGTTTATTTCGATGTACACTGGTAGAGATACCGACCCTGCGCTTGGAAAAAAGAACATTTTGTTTTGGTACTCATGGAATCATCAAGCCACGGTGGTCTAGAACGCTGGCCTTGTAATCATGGGGGTCTCAGGTTCGATTCCCGGCGGTACCCGAATTTATAACTTGTGTTGGGCAAGGCCGTGGTCTAGGCAACACGGAGTTTTCCTCCGTGGCATCCCAACAATTACTCCATTCACACACACAGAAGAAGGCAATGGCAAACCACTTCTGGATCATCTGCCAAGAACGTATATGAACAGGTCCCAGTCCGAGAAAAGGATGGAAGGATCCTGTTCATATGGACCTGTCCTCAGACAGAACACTAAATAAATAAATACTCATGGAATCAGTAGGGCGCCACTGCATTGTTGTTGAGTGTTCACCATCGAAGTACATTAACTGTGAGATTGTCAGTTTCTCAGTTCTGTGAATTAGTACTGTTTAATTTAAATTACACTTCTGTCTGACGCCAGAAGGTTTGCATTGTTACAGGCGCTTTATACGGAACGTGGGGTTAGTTCTGGAGTGGGGGGAGGGGGGTAGAGTGTGCTCGATCTGAAATGAGTGCATGGGGAGGTTAAGAGAGTTGCAGACAAATAGGATGAAAGAGAGAGGGTGATAAACTGAAGCATAAGTACTAGTAGACGTAAATTCGTTAGGATGCGGTTACAGAGTCTGTCTACGAACAAGGGTTATACACCACGCAGTTTGAATGTGTGGCAGAAATTTCATTCAGGGTTGTACATTCTGAAATATACGCGAGACCTTTTGGGAGACCTAACCTAACCAAACCTAACCTAAACTAACCTAACCTAACCAAACCTAACCTAAACTAACCTAACCTAACCTAACCTAAACCTGAATGTTTGAAATAAAAGTGCGCCACAGATGGAGTAAATATAATTTGCAATTAGATGTCACTACAGTTCAGGAACTCGACGGAACATCGTTCTTATTGAGGCGCTGATAGTCGCTCAGTTAGACTGTAAAATCTCAGTCTTGTATGAAACTGAAGGTTCATTACTTCCGTTGATAAGAACCTCGTATCGGATCCTATTCTGAGTCAGTGCTTGCATTTGTTTATGTGCAGTCTGTAGTTTTTAATTTACTTTCAGGATTTCGTTCAAATTTAATGTATCGTCAGTGAATTGAACGGACTGATTGAATGTTGCGACCATAAATCTGTTTAATTTGGACTGAAACAAGAACATGTCAGCATTGTGTGTTTTTCCACGTATCCATTTGCAAAACAAATGGCTTTTTGTTTCTGAAAGTGCGTGTAGAATGTGGCTAATGTAATATCATCTCGCGTAGTTTGAAGATAATGTCTTCATGCCACTGAGTGTAATGTCGTATAGAATTTTATCTTCCTTTAGCTGTTTTAGCCATAAGCAGGCTAAAGGCAGGCTTATTGTATTCTTATGTCTCTGTGCCCGTATCTGTCACCCTGTAGGTTTTGAAACACAATTTTAATTAAACTTGGTATGAACATCTTCAGCATCAACTTTAGCTGTCGTGAAAACTCATGAGGTGGGAGCGAAACTGGCATTAGGGCCATGTTATGATGTACTGTAACATATTTATCGTATAAATTATGAGTTTCTTGTGGCTAATGGTGCTGGAAACTTTTCATATTATTTATTATTATTATTATTCATTTGCGTACGGAAAGTTAACAAGGGACGATAAAACCACGTCTGCGTGGGTATGGATGCAATTCCTAAAGCAGAGCAGAACTGTACACATTCGTTGGTTAGGAATTTATTGTATTGTTTCACATAGTATCTTTGTTTCTTACGGGTTGGGAGCTTAGACTAGCGTTAATAGAAGACCAAATTGAGGGTGTTTGGGAACGGTGCCATAG